CCCCTCCCGCCGCCTCCCTCCCCCTTGCTGGTCCCACGAAGAGACCATCGCCCTCATCGACTCCTATCGTGACAAGTGGTACTCTCTCCGCCGCGGCAACCTCAAGGCCACCCACTGGCAAGAGGTCGCCGACGCCGTCGCTCACCGCTGCCCCGCCGCTTCTCCTCCCAAGACCGCCGTCCAGTGCCGCCATAAGATGGAGAAGCTCCGAAAACGGTACCGGACGGAGATCTCGAGGGCCAAGTCCATGCCTTTGTCCAGATTCACCTCTTCCTGGGTCCATTTCAAGCGGATGGACGCTATGGAGAAGGGTCCCGCGGCTGCGAAGAGGGAGAACTCGGAGAGTCCCGGGGAGGAGGACGAGAATGATGAGAATGAGGAAGAGGACGATCAGGATCAGGAGCTGTATGAGGAGCTGAGATATGGGTCGAATATGAAGAGCATGAGCAAGTTGTATAGAAATGGAGTTGGGGTTGGAGGCAGTGGTGGAAGTAGTGGAGGTGGGTTTAGGATTCGGATCCCAACTGGGGTTAGTATAGCTCAGCCCGGGACCAAGGTTTATCCGAAAATGGATCCGAAATTCGGGTTGAATTCGAATTCGGGATCGGGTTCAGGGCCGGGGTATGGGAGTGCTAAGGTGATGAGGGAGTGTGGGAATTCGGTGAGGCCTGGATTGGGGAAGAGGGAGAGGGAGGGGAGAGAGAGGGAGAGAGACCCCGTGGCGGAGATGGTTTCGGCGATCAAGGTTTTGGGAGATGGGTTTGTGAGGATGGAGCAGATGAAGATGGAGATGGCGAGGGAGATCGAGACGATGCGGATGGAGATGGAGATGAAGAGGACCGAGATGATTTTGGACTCGCAGCAGAGGATTGTTGAGGCTTTTGCCAAGGCAGTTTCAGAGAAGAAGAAGAAGGCCAAGCGAATGCCCTCCCCGGAGGCATAGCTGGGCTTGCAGTGGTTGAGTTTCCGGAAATTCTAAAGGAAGAATGAGCTTCCTGTTCATAGCAGCCAAATGCCTTTGCATCTTAGGGACTAAGATTGTGAGTTTATTAGTTGTAAGTTCTGTGTTTAACTTTCGCTTTCGAGCCACTTTTTACCATTATTTTCCTTTTAAGTCATGAGGAGAATGTGAAACTTGATCACTTTAGCTTGGTTCTGGTCCTTTGTAGCGATTGTAGCTTAATCTTTGTAGTTTGTAGTTCGTGTAGTGGAGGAAAACTATGTAGAATAGTTGTTGTCTCTCTGTTTATCTCTTGGTTTAATGCATAGAAGCTCTAGCTGTTAAAATCTTACTCTTTTCTTTTGATCCGATAGTAAGAATGCTTGCTTTATAATAATGGGAAGAGGATTCTTTTGTTGGTTGGGCATCTTATCGAGCTTTGTTTTGGTAGTGAAAGGTGGCTTTTTGATAGCTTTTTATGATGTTTTAGTACGGATATAATATCAACTCTAGGAAAATGTTCTCTTGCTTGGCACTATGAATCTGGACCATTGATCAGGTGGATTCTTGCATGAATGCGTTGCCCCGATTCATAGTTTGGCAACAGAAGTATTTGTCTAGCAAGAAAACATTACCCGTCGATTCTATTCTGTAAGTGACATACTAAATATGTGCAAGCTTTTACAAGATCTTTCAATGTTCCCTGGTTAACATATTATGATTGGAGAAGTGCGAGTTGATTTCATGGATGGTCGAGACTGTTCGTGTAATATAAAACTTTCTGCTTTGAATAAGGTTATTTGCTGGCTCTCTGTCGATAGTGTCAATACTTTATCTGTGGAAGTGAATGTTTCCTGCAGTAATTTTTTCTGGATTTGACTGGCTTTAAAGTCTTTGTTAAACCTTGGAGGTCTAACATGGTGAACTACATTTGTAGGATTCATAAGAGGAAAAATGAAGCGTAGTCTCGGAGCCTATCAGAAAAGTTAGTTTTAAACGTTCATGCCCGTTTTCCAGGATTACATACTAGATGCAAGCCTTTCCTTAATGTTTCCTTTGGAAATTCTTATTTACCTGTACAGAACTTAAATGGGGATCTGACTAGAACGTTGGTAGTTGGGTCATTGGTTGGTTTAACCCCTTTGCATAGAGTGTGGTTATTTGGTACAAAGTTGTTCTTTGGTTACCACGCTAATGCTATGACCACCTCATGAAACCAAGTTTGGGATACCTTGGTAATATTCTCTTTCTGGGTTGTTGATTCATATTTGTTTGCCCTTTTAATGATCTTTAATTGCTTTGCCTCACGTTTTCTATTTCATAATGGACAAATTGACTTGATTTTGGATTTTTCGGGTAATGTAAACATGCATCATTGGCATGTTCATGTTTTCCGGTCATGGTTAGGTTTTCCGACCTAATTCGTATGTTGATCCCTGGTCATGATCGGGTTTTCCGACCAAATTCATATGTTGATCCCGATTTGTTTTGGCCCCAACTATGCCCCAGTTCATGCCAAACACAAGAAATATTTTGAGATTGTTGTGACATAAGGCGTTAGGAGGGCAATAATGTGCCATCAATGAGACATTTGTTTGACGGTAGGGGGCATTAAAGCATCACAACGAGGCATTGAGCTACCAATTATGAAGGGGGGCATTGTGCTACCAATTGTGCCACAGTTAAGCTATTAGCTAATAATTCAAGGGTCACCAAAGAGAAAAGAAACAATACACAGTGATGAAGCTAAATCAGATTGGTGAAGCAGCTTTAGATAGCTGCCATGACCATTGGGCCACTCTATTGGAAGTCTCCTTTCTAAAGCCATAACTCACAGGCATTTCGATGAATGTTGTTTGGCTTCAGAAGGGGCCTCAATGGTTCACTTCTCTTATAGATGCAGACATAATCGTCAAAATTATAGAATCAATTTATGGGAATTTTTTGCTATCTACAAATTTAACAAGAAACAAATCTACCTAATAATGAGGAACTCATACATGAGAAATTATAGAATACTACGGTAGTATGACCACGTGGTATATCTTGTACGCGTGTTATAATATGAGTGGACGACATGGTTTATTTTCCCTCCTTACAGGGAATAGTATCTATAAATATCCACTTATATTATAACATGTGTACAAGATGTACCATGTGGCCGTACTACCGTAGTATTTTATAACATATCTTCTTTGCTGCCTTGTATTTTAATAGCCTGAGAAAGCAGCATGAAACTTAGCATGATCTGAGCAAATTGGGGAGAATTCTTTAACTATAGCCGACTTGGATCTGCATTTATGTTCTTACTTTGCAATGTCATGAGTTCGACTTGATTCTTCGGACCCATAAATCAACGGGTCTCTCCAAGACAGAGACGTTAATGCTACTCCAGACCTCCTGTTTGGATGGAAGCTGGGCAATTTTCTCTGCAACTTCCATGTCTTCCGGAAGAACAGAACCGAACACGGTGTACGCTTTTTTCCACTCAAAATGGTTGGCAAGGCTGATGAAGAATTCCGGGCCAGAACCAATCCAGGCAACTGATCCTCTTCTAACGGTGTGAGAGACCTCTGTTGGAATGTTCTTAAATATGATCCCATGTGCTTCAAGTGTTCCTTGTATTAATGCGAAAGGCGGGCCAAATGGAGCCTATAGAGCTTACATGAGAAACTTCTGAATGAGAAATAAATACTACATCAAATCCATCTCTTGAGCAATGATATACTACGAGGAAAAGGTAGTACTCTAAATCAGCAAGATGAAAACTCAGTTGTAGCTTCAAGTTATGAGGTCAAATAAACTTACATTTTCTACATGGTTTCCTAGCGAGTCCCAAAAACTTCCACGGTCTTCTGCACGATAAAAGTGGCAACCTGCATAATGAGGTACTTGCAACATCTCAAGAATATAGGCAACAGAATGTGGGGCACAATCAGGAAACAGCTGCATAAATTGAAGAACAAGAGAAAACTTAGATGTTCCAATCATACAGTTTAATATGAGTACAAAAACTTAAACAAATATACAAGCCATTTTTCCTATGACTACAGTATCAGCATGACGTAATTGTAACAAAAACCTTAGCTCAGGGTTTCCAGATAAAAGAGATCAGGCATCTAATCCGGTAGTGAAAGCATTTACCTTTATGCGAAGAACACCATATTCTGTTTCCAAACCAACAATACCCTGTTGAGCAATGGATTCTGTGAGCAGACAAGTAGACATATGACAGAAAAAAAAAATAATAAAAAAAAAAAAAAAAAAAAAAAAAAAAAAAAAAAAAAAATTCTAGTCTAACTTCATTGCAGCAACTGCTATAATATATCAAGGATTGAGAGATTCATCGATCCTCCACTTGCAATGTCTTTTTCACAAATGATGAATTATACTACTTTTATTCTATAAGAATCTATGAAACATATATTTTTAGTTCACAGTCATTTTTCTACACAAAACACATCAAATTTCTTGTCACCTCCCTCTTCTTCTCACATACTATTTTTCCTTTTCTTCAGAAAAATATCACTTCTTCCCTCCACCTCTCCTCTTATCACATTTGCGCCCCTCTTTGTAACGCTCATTAAACTAACTGCCTATTTCAAATCATTACCTCCCTTACTGAATACACAATAATTTTTTTCTAATTTTTACAATCTCAAGTTACCGACTCACCTGAACTAAGCTTCTCCCAAATGCAAGCAGTCAGCTAAAAGGAATCAAAGGGAAGCCACTCTATCAAAGCCAGGTTTCAGAGCAAACTACGTTTGGTTGTTGGCTTACAACACTTCCACTGCACTACTCTGAATATTCATACATTCATTGTTTTTGTTATTTGCAATTATCTTTAATATTAAACAGGCATGTGTGCTTATGTCAACTAATCAACTCCTAATAAAACATGAATAAAATTCTCATCAGTTTACAGGTGCAGCAATGCGTTAAAAAACATATAGAAAAAAGAAACGCCTACCAGATTACATATCGGAATACATAGTAACTAGCATAGAAACTAGTTACTCTGATCTGAAAATGACTTTGAATTGTTTTGTCTCATAGAAGACAAGTTCATATATCACTAAGGAAAAGCATAATAAGAACTCTCTGGCACATATTCGTAAGATAAACCCCTATATATAAGAACTCTCTGGCACATGTTCACAAGACAAACCCCTATATACAAGAACCAAAATTTTGACAATGTACAATATATCATGTCATTTGTGCTTGTAACTTTGTAATTAGTAATTTAAAACCAGAGAAACGTAGTACAATGCACAAAAATATTCACCTCTCTTTCTCCAAAGATGAATCCAGAAGTCCACATAACTAGATCACCTGAGTCTTTCCGATCAGGCTCTAAGGTATCCTTTTGTTTCTTTAACCAACACTACAAACATGCATAAGAGAAGCATCTCATAACCAAACCAATTAATTCAACTCAAGGATTTACAAAGAATGTAATCAATTAAAACCAAAAGTAAAAGTGGTATGCAAGATGCTACTTTCCACAATGGCCAAATTGATGTTGGTAGATATACATTTGAATCCAAATTTAAACACAACCCATCCATTCAAATATCAATAACAGCGACAATCACCTGAAATTGGAAAACACTCAATTTCCATTCCCAATCAGTGCAGATAACTTGCCCACCTTTTCCACCTTTCTTTTATTTTCAGACCAAAATTGCTTCTTTCACCAGTACATTATATGCTTGTACAATGTATGAAAATTACACAACCCCATTATAAATTTCCATCTAAATTAGCTCACAAAGCTTCCCTTGAATTGACTAGAATAGACCAATACATAACAGATTTAATGAAACTGTTCCTGAAAGCAAAAGAGACAGAGAAACCATACCTCACCAAATCTAAGTCCACAAGCCACTCTGTTCCCACAAAACACCCAACTATCACACAAACAAGGCCCACCTTGATCTCCACACATAGCTTTACAAGCCATGCAGCATTCTTCAGAAGAATTGACCTTAAACTGAGAACCCCATTTCACAGCATCACCCCAAAGCTCCAAATGCTCAATCCCTCCACAACATTCTCCATCTTCTCCATCTTTTTCTTCACTCCCCAATGCAACTTTACCGCCATTCTCACCCAACTCTGAAACCGAATCAACAGTTATGCTATTGGGGTTTGAGACCATAGACAGGAAAAGATACACCATGCAACAGAAGATTGCACCCATCAAGAAAAGGGCCAGAAGTGCAAACCGGCCGAGTTCTGAGTCGCTCTGCCTACGACCCATTTGATTTTATGGAATGAAATGAAAAACCCAGAAACTATTCAGCTTAATTCTTTGGGTTCATGTTGTTGGTTCAGGAAATTTGATGAGATTGATTCTGTGACGATGATGGAACAAGCGTTACTAGCATTTGGTGACACGTTGGCCTTATTTTCGTTCGGTTCCACCTGAAACAGTTACCAACCAATCAGTAATGTGCAGAAATTGGATAAATAAAGTTGGCTAAAGTGGATGTATTTTATACTCGTTCTTTCGAATTCTCTTACTATAGTTTAGATTAGCCCCGCATGTGAAAATTGGTTTTATTTTTTATTTTATTTTTAGAATTTAAAAAAGATAATATAGGTAGTTATGTTCTATAAAAGTATGACCTATTATTTAATTTTGTTTTTAATTTTAATTTTTTAATATGAAATTATCATATTATACGTATTTAATTAATCATTTCAATTCTTAATATTTGAATTAACTAAGGGTATTTTATGGTATTTTAAATGTTTCAATCTTTTCTGCCTTTTGTTTTATACTAGCCCCTTGGCACATGCGTTTTGGTTTTATTTTTTATTTTTATTTTTTTCCAAATTAAGAAAAGATAATATGAATAGTTATGTTCCATAAAAGTAAGACCTATTATTTGATTTTGTTTTTTATTTTAATTTTTTAAATATAAAAAATATGAATTTACTATATTATCCTCATTTAATTAATAATTTCAATTCTTAATGTTGAATCAACCAAGGATATTTTCACAATTATCTGCCTTTTGCTTTATATATATATAGATATATAGATTATATTAATATAAAATATCGCTTGTATAAATAAATTTTAAAAAAATCAATAATATCTCACGTTTTGCATATATTTGGGCCTGGTTTTTATCCACCTTGATAAATGGAAAAATTGGGCCAATGCTTGGCCTGGGCTTGAAGCCATATGATTTATATAGAGTGATTGGGCCAGTTTAAGTGGTCTATAAATGGAATTATTGATGAGAACTGATTTTCCCACTCATTATTGGCATAATTGACCGACTGATGTATGCTTTAATTGTTGGATATCTGAGTATGTATGTTTCTTAGGGTCTGATTCAATAGCTTTTTCCTCCTGTTGTCAGTTGAATTCTGTATGCAATTTAGTTTTTAACATGTTTAGCCGTAAAGACATACCCTACGAAATCTTGTTCGACATCCTTTCAAGATTGCCTGTGAAATCTCTTTTGAAATTAAGATGTGTTTGCAAGTCTTGGCATGCTTTAATTAGCAGCCCAAGTTTCATAAGCGCCCATTTCGAAAGGAATGACATGAAAAGTGGCTATAATTATTTTCTTATGTACACTAGCAGTGCAGCTTGCTTGTCAGTAGTTTGTCCTGAAACATATGCTAAGAGTTTGGAGTTAGATCTTCCCCCTATCTACTTCCATGGTTCCTGCAATGGATTGTTTTGTCTATCTGATTATAATATGGAGAGTACATATTTATAGAATCCATCAATCAGGGAGTTGAAGAGACTTCCTAAAGGCACCATTCATTGCAAGCATCGTCTCGCTCTTGGGTTTGGCCTCCACACCGGCTGTATTGGTTTTTGGTATTGTTTTTAAAATAAATAGTATATCCGGGCGGCTATACTTGGTTTTTTTTTTCTTCCATTTCTTTTAAACGAAATAGTATAGCCGCTATAATTGGTTTTTTTTATCTTTCTATTTTTTTTATTAATTATAATAGTATACCCTCGTGACTATACCAAATTAATATCTACAAAGTTTAAACTAATACAACTAGGAGGGTCCTTTTTCATAATTTTTTAATGCCAAAATTTTAACAAATAAAACAAGTATGTATTTTATTTGTATAGCTGCGTGGCTATACCAAATTACTATCTATAAAGTATAAACTAACTAATGCAACTAGGAGGGTCCGTTATTCATAATTTATTTTTATAGTATAGCCGCGTGGCTATACTACGTTTAAAAAAACAAAAAAAGATTAGCATAGTCGTTCCTACACTAATGCAAGGCGCAATGGAAAGGTCCGTTGTTTTCAATACAAATCTAGCCGTCATCTCTAGCTTCTCGTCTGTGAAAATTGTTGTGCCTCCTCTCCATGCGAAGGAATTTGCTACTCTAACAGTAACCCTCCATTTTTCTGGAAGAACTTGGATTTTAGCTTAATAAACTTATGCTTGTTCACAACTGAAATAAATAATTAACTACTTGATATTTTATATCATCTTAATTACCAATTGATTAATTAACTCAGTGTTTCCAATTTTTTGTAAACACTACGTGTATTAAACATAAAAAAATACATGTGTATTTGTATATGAGTAATGTTTGCTTCTTTTAAAATGTGAACTTTATTTTAAGACGTCTACAGAACACGGATGTATTATTAAAAAATACGTATTTATGTGTATAATACATTATTAAAAGTGAAAATGCTAAAGTCGTTATATGGGTAATAACTTTGAAAAAGTATAAATAAATAAAAAATCAAAAGGGGAGACAATAGAGACTTGGGTAATGGAACTACTCTTTTTTAAAAATTAAAATTAAAACAAAAGAAAAAACCAGTACGGCCGGTCGGCTATACTATTTTTAAGAAACATTAATAAAACCGTGTATGGCCGTGCGGCTATACTATTTTAGAAAAATATAAAAAACCGGGAAGAGCCGTACTGCTATACGATTTATTACAATAAGAACGCTTAGCGCCTAGGTGCCAGGTGTCAGAAAAAGTAAAGCCGTCCGGATATACTATTTTAAAACAAATTATAGGAAAGCCGGTATAGCCGGTCGGCTGTACTATTTTTTAAAAGAATTATAGACCCAAGTATAGCCGCGCGGCTGTACAATTTTTTAAACCGAGTATGGCCGACCGGCTGGACTATTTTTAAAAATAAAATGACAAACAACGCGTATAGGTTAAAAAACCGAGTATAGCCGCGCGGCCGTACGGTTTTTTAAAAGTTACCAAACCGAGTATAGCCGCCCGGCTGGACTTAAAAAAAGGGAGTATAGCCACACGGCTGTACATTCATTCATTGTTAGTAATATACGAATAAAATACGTATGTGTTTTATTTGGCAAAATTTTGTGCAGTTACAACTTAAATGTTCGGCCACTTTTTTTAATATAAAGTATTTACGTTTTGTAGTATATATTATTTTTATTCAATAATATGGAAATAGAATAGATCGACATGTTATATTTTATTCAATAATATATATTATTATTTTTATACAATGGACAGATTGACATGTTATAAATATAATTTGTATTTCACACGTTTGGCTAGTACTAGGATCACTCAATCGTACTTGTTCTTCTAAAAAAGAATTAAAAATGAAAATAAAGACACTGCTGTAATGTTAAATTCAGTCTCTTTTGCTTCTACTTATCATTCTGTCGCATATTATCATAAACATATGTCATGTTGTATCATCAGTGATCTGATATGAACTATTCTTATGAAGGGGTTCTATCAGCAAAACGCAATCAGATACTTCCAGTCTCTGTATCCAAGTAGATGTACAATTTTCTATTTGTTGTTTAACATATTTATTTTACTATTTGTATCAGAATTGTACACAGCTGTTTGGGTTTTGGATCATATCGTATCTATCTTTTTCCAGTCATTTTCTCTTCACATATATAAAACAGTTCGAAGTCGGAAAGGAAAAGAATTCCTAATTTTTTAGTTTATCTGAAAACAAAATCCTTTTCAGAAAAGGAAACGAACTAGTTGAGAGCCGCCTATAAATAGATGATGTAAGACGAGAAGAAAAGACGGAGACACAAAAAGCACACAAGCAGAAGTCAATTTTCATGTTTCCTAAGGAATTGCTGTCTTGTTCGGTCGTCGGTTGTTTTGTGAAGAGAACGAGATCAAGATAGAGACGGTATGGAGGAGGTAAAAAGGGATGCGATAAAGAAGGATAGACGGTTGCTCAGGAGTTTCAGGGAATGTTGAGGAGGCACAGAGAGAGTATGGATGAAAGCAGCAATTGTTGAGAGAGGATTAGGGAATGTTGAGGAGGAGAGGAAATTGCTTGATGAAGGATTAAAGAAATTTCCTTCGTTCTTTAAATTGTGGTTGATGCTTGGACAGCTAGAGGAACGGCTTGATCGTTTGGAAAAAGCCAAGGAGGCCTATGACTTGGGCCTGAAGCACTGCCCCAATTCTATACCGCTCTGGCTTTCTCTTGTTAATCTTGAAGAGAATTTGAATGGGGTGACTAGTGCTCGTGCAGTCCTCACACTATCCAGGAACGAAAATCCTCACAACCCTCAACTATGGCTTGCTGCAACTCGAACTGAATTGAGGCATGGTAATAACAAGGAAGCTGATATTTTGATGGCGAAGGCTTTGCACGAGTGTCCCAATAGTGGTATCTTGTGGGCAGCATATATTGAGAGTATGGTACCCCTACCCCTTTCTCGATGGATGTCCAAGATTATGGATGCCCTCAGGAAATGTGATTACGATCCCCATGCCATTGCTGCTGTGGCCAAGTTTTTCTGGCATCACAGTAAGGTTAAGAAAGCTAGGACTTGGCTCGACAGGGCCATCACAATTGCCCCAGATATTGGGGATTTCTGGGCTTCATACTTCAAATTTGAACTTCAGCATGGGACTGATGAGAACCAGAAGGATGTTTTGAGAAGATGCATTGCTTCACAACCAAAGCATGGTGAAAAATGGCAACCTATTTCCAAGGCCCTGCACAACTCTCACCAACCAACTGAAGCTATCTTGCATCAAGTGGTGGCTGTACTCGGCAAGGAAGAGAGCTCGCAGCAGGCAAGGCAGGCGCCCCAAACTGATAGACTCTAGTCCTCCCTTCTCCTGGCCTCTCCTTTTTCCGGGTTATATTTCTTCTAAAATGTTCTCCTAAATTGGACCTTTACCAGTAGTTTCACTTGTCGGCATCCTATTTATATTTCACTCTATTTACTTATCAGCTTTTTTCAATTTCCTTTTTTTATTGCCAATTGCCTTTGGAATGGATTCGGTGATGAGGCTTGGCTTGGCTTAATAATTACTTGTTCCTGTTTATATATAAATGTCTCTTTTTACATGTTCAGTTTTGATCTGGGTGTTATTATGTGTTTTCCTTTAGCTCCTTTGTATTTCCCATACTTCCCCTTCCATATTCATTACTATTTTTCCTGGCTGTAAAGTTATTTAAAGTAAGAAGCAGCTCAAAAAATTAATAAGGCGCTTAAGGAATTTCAACCAATGAGGGGTCGTAAAAGAGAAACAAGAGTGGAGAGTATATGCCCCTCTTTTTCAAGTAATGTACACTTTGGGATGGCCCATATGAAACCTTAAAACTCCCACATTAGGAAAAAAGAAAAAAAAAATGTTGAAGGAGGGAAGCTCTCTTCTCTATTGACTTACAAGCCAGGAACGTCCACAACCACAGAAGGCTTTAGATTCACACTTTGCTTTGCAAGCTAGCTAGGTTGTGACATTTTTTTGTTAATGACCATGTCATGGATTTGTTGGACAGATCGGTTGCTTCCATTTGGCGCATTCGAAACACTACACTTGGCAGACGGGATTTGGTTACACTTGGCAGACTGGATTCGGTAGTAGACTTTTAGCAGACAAAGAATTAATAATGTCTTGGCTTTGCTAGTTATCATGGGAAATGATTATGGCTGCGTATACCACATTAATGGGGTCGGCAATGTGTGCCTTTTAATATCAATCTAATTCCTTCCTCATGCCTACGGTTTTCAACTCTGAGAGGAAAATTAAATTCCTCGCCGGAGATTAGCTGAAGCACGAGTAAGAGGATAGGATTTTGGAAAATCATTGTTGTCTATAGGCAGCGTCCCTTACACTAATGCATGATGCAGCAGAAAGGTCAGGTTTTTTCATTGTTTTCAATACAAATCTAGCCGAGACAAATCTAGCCGTCATCTCTAGCTCCTCGGCTGTGAAAATTGTTCTGCCACCTCTCCATATTTGCTACTCTAAGAATAACCCTCCATTTTTCTGGAACAACTTGGATTTTAGCTTAATAAACTTATGTTTGTTCACACTGAAATAAATAATTAACTGATTACTTAACTACTTGATATTTTATGTCATCTTAATTACTAATTGCTTAATTAACTCGGGTTTTCCAATTTTTTTAAAAAAGAAATCGTATAGCCGGTCGGCTATACTCTTTCCTAATTTTTGAAAGAAATAGTAGAGCTAGGCGGCTATACTCCCTTAAAAAAATAATAATAATAGTACACCTGCGCAACTATACCAAATTAATTTCTATAAAGTATAAAACTAATGTAACTTGGAGGGTAATTTTTTCATAATTTTTTGGGAGTTTAACTAAAACACCCAAAATAGGGGCTGAAATTATAAAAAAACCCAACACCCAAAACACTTTATAAACACACCCAAAACCCATCATTACACATACTCAAAACTCATTTATAAACACACCCAAAAAATATACAATTGTTTATTTTGGGGTTGATTTTGGGTGTGTTTCTATGTTTAAATAGTGCTTGGGTTTTTTTATAAATACATGTCTAGGATTGTGTTTATTTATAAATTTGTATAATTTTTTTATGCCAAAATTTTAACAAGGTGTTTTATTCGTATAGCCGCATGGCTATACCAAATTAATATTTATACAAATTAATGCAACTAGGAGGATCCCTTATTCATAAGTGTTTTTAACAGTATAGTAGCTTGGCTATACGATGGTTTTTTATTGAAAAAATAGTACAGCCTGAAAATTCTAAAAACGGAGTATAGATGCGCTAAAAAAAATTGTAAAAACCTTGTATAGCCGAGCGGCTATACTATTTCTTTTTTGAAAAAAATTAGGGGAAAGCGCGAGTATAGCCAGGCGGCTATACTATTTCTTTTGAAAAAATTAGGGAACAGTCTGGTCCAACCGTGCGGTTATACTATTTCTTTTTTAAAAAAATTAGGGGAAAGTGTAACTTTGTCGATCTTTGAAATGCATAAACAATTTTCCAACCAAAAGCAAATAAATATATACATTGTTATCAGACTTCGGCGGAATCTCCTACACATCACGACTTCTCAGTTTCTCCCTCTTATGAAATACTTTCAAGCATCTGCTTCGTGTAATCAAACTGCAAACTTTCTCTCTGATGATCACCATCCACCTGCCTCAAAAAACCAAGAAATGGGCTCAGAGTTTTGTCAGTGGAGGTGAATCTGGTGATTGAGGTTATCTTTTTGAATTGGGGTTCACTTTGCCTGAGGTATGCTTTATGATGCAGAAGCATCTAACAGGGCTTTCCCAGAGTACATGAGCCCGTTGGTCAGTTGGGCTAGGATTCTAGTTATTTTAAATTATTAGCTTTTTTTATATTACTTCTCTTATTCCAATTAGGATTCGGTTTAATTTCCTGTTAGTTTTTAATTTCCTTTCTCAATTAGGTCTTCTTAATAAGCTGATGTACTCTAGTGTAAAAAGGCTATAAAGAGACTCGAGCTTCTTTGGGATTTTTACCCTAGAACTAAATTATCGTCGTTCCAACTTCAATTCTATTGCTTTGTCCTTCTATTCTCTCTATTTTGAGACTGTTTGGGTTGCTGGACAGCAGCTTGTAGTTTCCTGGTGTTGTCAGTTGAATTCTTTATGTATTTTAGTTTTGAACATGGTTAGCCCCAAAGACATATCTCCTTAATTTTCCCTTTTATAGTTCTAAGTTTACATAAAATGCCCTTCGAATAAAAACTCTGTTGCAAAGCTCTTTCAGGTATTTTGTATTTTGTATTTTTTAACTTTCCCTAAACCAAAATTGAAGAAAGTTTTATACCATTTTTTCCCTCTCTTAGCAAAAAAAACAACAACAACAACAACAAAACCACTGAATAAAATTGACCCAAAAAAAGAAGAAGCTGTCATTGAACAAAATTACTGGGATAAATTATGAACCAAGAAAAAGAAAGAAGCCTAGAACTTCACCCATCCTATTTCTGTCAATTTTGGACAATTAAAAACTGAATAGGAGACTTCAAAGAAAGAATTAGCCAAATGAGAGAATTAACTTTGCAGAGAAAATAGATCTCAGAAACAAGAAGAAGAATTGTTAGGTTGCTATTGATAGATCCCGTAAAGAAAACATTTGTATAAAAAAAGAGAGAGAAACATTTAGAAGACAAGGAAAGATGTAGAAGAGGGCAAAGTAACCAACGCTTACGGAAGAAAATAAGGTCTGAAAGAAAAAAAAAAAGTCACAAAATATATCAACAGAGCAGATGCAGATGCTAATCTCACAATCTGGGTTGGGCCACTTCAGTTTTCCAGCCCAAAGATGGTTAAAACTAGGGGTGGGCACGATTCGGTTTGGACTGGTTTTTGTCTCAAATTAGAACCGATCTGGTACTATTCATCCGATTTGGTTTGGTTCGATTTTAATAAAAAAAATTTCAAAAACTGTCCGGTTTCGGTTCGGTTTTGAATCGGATTATTAAAAAAAAATTTAATTTTTTTAAAATACAATTCTAAACTGAAATATTATTTTTTTACTTGAAAATTAACAAATTATTCAATTTCATATGAAAATAAATATTAAAGTTAGAAAAGAGAGATATTTTGAAATTGAACTTGGATAAATATTAGTTTTTTTAGTGAAACTAAAAATATAGCATTAAATATAAATATATATTGAAATTATACATTTTTTTTAATTTGACCGGTTCGGTTTTTGACCGATTGTTGACTTTTTGGTCAACTCAGTTTTTTTCCAGTTTGGTTTAGTGAGGTTCGGCTCGGATTTCAGGTTCGCCGGTTTGAGTGCCCACCCCTAGTTAAAACTGAACAAATGGGGTCAATAAAAATATCTCCGAAGAAGATGCATTTGATGCTACGAAATGAGATGCATGCAAAAACAAATAGTCTGCTGTTGAGATGTACAAAAAATTCATCCATGGCTTGTGGACGGTCCCTTCTTTCTGCCTGAGAGAGAAGACCGAGTGATTAGAGAAAGGGTGAGAAAGAAGCAAGCTGCGGTGACGAGCACCTTCCAGCCACGGAGGACACCGGAGTTATTGCTGCCTGTGGTGGTTGTAACTGTGATATCATCCTGTTGCTCTTCTTCTTCGTCTGGTAAACATACAAAATGAGAGAAAACCTCCTCTGGAAAACATATATACCAGACAAAATATAGATTCATTTATTATTTTGCTTTATTTTATTTTATTTTATTTTATATTTGGAAATAGTTGGAGTAAAATTATGAAACGCGTCAATAAAACATCACACCTGCCTTACCTTCTTCATCAGAGTCCCCAAGGATCGTATTGAACAATACTGGATAATAAGAACTATGATTCTCTTCTTGCACCTGCACAAGTCGGATGCCCAACTCCTTAACCAGAAACCCAGATTTATTAATTACAGAAACAACCACTTCATCGCCACCTTGTAACTGATCATCCAAATTCCAGTGGCTTAACCATATCATGTCTTCTCCTTCACCTGGAATACCGTAGTGTGATGGGCAATACATCCCCCTCAGACCCTTGCTCTTATTTTTCACTCTTATTAGTGGCATATGAGCGTGGTGGACAATAGGGGAATCATAGCCAGGATGCACATAGACAACAAATACAATCAAGCCTCGAATTCTGTGATGATCAAGTAATGGCACATTAAAAGATATTGAGGACCCTCTGCTTTTATGGCTGAATTGGCCGGGAACCCTATTCCCACAAAAAAATGTGCTGAATATACCACATTCGTACAGTCCCTATATATATGCAATAGAACTGGCAATATTAGTCAACTCTTTCCTGTGATCATATGAGAGAGAGAGAGAGAGAGAGAGAGAGAGAGAGAGAGA